TGGGCCCCTAGAATTTGCATTTCTACATGATGCTGATGCTGTTGGCCAGAGACCCCACTCTAATAGATAGAGAGATGTGTAGAGACATCCACTACACACATCTACAGTGAGACAGACAGTTGCCGAATTGATAAGACATCACTGTATGGCAGTCACCATTCAGTGACTGTAGACAATAGACATGTGGTTTAATCTGAGTCTGTTTCCAAATCTGCAGGGTGGATGTAAGGATGCCTATAGGAATGAAGCTATCATGCAATGTTTCCTGACATGAGGTCAAATAGCTTTGCAACATTCACAAGAAAAACACAAATGGAATAATCCCTCCCTTTGTTCACAGTTGCCCTAGATAAGATTCAGAGACACAACACCTAAAGAGTACACAGTATGGGGTTTCAGAGGCCCATGATGCCATACATGTGATGGTGCTTAACACACACGTATGGGTCCAGCTACAGGGAGAGACAGAAAAAGGGAAAAAAGAAGAAAGAACAGAGGGAGGGAAGGAAGAAAAGAAGGAGGAAGTGTAAAAATCCCCCGTGTTAAAAAACAAGTAACAACCTCCACCCAAAGAACTGGGCAGTGAGAAAAGAAAATCCCATTTCCAAAATGAGTTAGGCAAGTGACCGAGTGCAATTAAAGGCTCAACTCAATCTCTACATCCTAGTTCAAGCCTTTTCCAAATCTCCCAGCATACAACCAGCATTCCAAACACACTTAGTCAAGACTTAACAATTACTTATCCTGCCTCATGGTTCTGGAACACAGTTTAATTCTCCCAAGCCTCTGAGGATAGGGACCATGTTTATAACATTCCTTTCTCATGGGAGTTGGAGCAACATCCTAATTCTCCCCTTAGCAGCAAGTCAGCCATGTGGCTTTGTTTACTAACTTATTGTCTATCTTCACATTAGAATGAAAGCTCTCTGGCATTGGGACATTTTCCAGATTGTTCATCACTCTGCATGAGTTGGTGCCTTTCTTTCCAAATCTGTACAGTAGGCCACCACTTACTCATGTTGGTATTGTGAGAATCATGTAAGACTAGGCCATGGAAGCAATGCCATGGGGTTCCACCACAAGGCTCCAGAAATGTTCACCAAGGCTCCCATATCCCAACCAGGGCCAGAGCCATCACTGCATGTATTTAAGCAGATGCCTGTTTGTGATTCATGAGTTTGGGGGTTGATTTTTGAAAAAAGAGCAATTTAAACAGTGCTATCATTTTCATTTTAAAAGTGATACATGTTCAAGTAGAAATTTTCAAGAACTCTTGTCAATTGTTTAAATACATTCCTTCTTCCTCCACCTCCAACTTTAAAAAAACCCAACATGCAGTAATTCAATTTTAATCAAGACAAACTAGGGAGTTACTGTTCACAAAAGAATTAACAATGGTTTTTCTTTAAATAGCAAATGTCCTTGCCACATTTTTAGATATTACATCAGTTACAAAACTTGTATTTGCTACCTTTCCAGAGCATCTGCTATTTAAAGTAAGCCTTGCCTGTGACAACTGGCAAGCCAAGAGAGGACAAGTCTTCTGGAGGACTCTCCTCCCTGGATGTGGGGTGCACACCGATTTAGATTTCCTTGCGAGACTCCAGACAAGTTATTTTCATCACTGAGAAAAAAACAGGAGTGTGATACCTTGCCACCTCAGTCTATCTGCCTCCTAAAAAAAGTGAGACATGACAGAGAGAGGAGACTGCTGCAGTAAAATGTTCCTATTCTCACAATTCAGGTCCCACAAGTATCCATACCATCTCTCCATGTTAAATGCTTGGTTAAAATTAGTTTCTCTACTCCCTTTCTTGAATGTAAAAATATCCACCTTTTTTAAAAAAATCAGAAAGAATCTGAGGTTTGGGAAATACAGCTTAGCTTAGCTGTGTGTTTTGAAAACAGCACACGTCATTACTTTTGGTTTCTGCATTTGCAGCTTCCTGACATCTTGAGTTGATACATCACAGCAAAAACATCTGTTGAGCCCAACAAAGGACAGAGCCAAATTTCCAAGAATCCTTTTTTAAAAACTGGGCTTTCCAAAGAAGCTACTGCAAAGCAATTTTACATAAACATAATGGAGACAAGTCACTGAAAGGGGTAAAGATCTCTGACCCACCCCTACCCCCCTGCCCAGTGTTTCCCAAAAGTACTGTGGCTGGCCTCTGATATCATAGCCCCATCTGGCTATCTGGCTGTGCCAGGGCATGGGATTAGCAAACTCTGTGGTACTTTGAAGGCCATTTAGGTGGCTATGATTGCCTGACTAGTGCCAGCTTCCCACCTCTCCCAGGTTGCTCAGCCACAGACCCCTGCTGGAAGCCACAGACAGAGGCCACGGTATCCCCCATGCTCGTGCCTCATAAATAGTATGGACCAGTTACTGGATGCTTGTAATGTGCTAGGAAGAATGTTGAGTGCTTTGTGAGCATTTTCTCACTTTATCATAACAAAAGCCCTCAAGGTAAGTGTGTTGGCACTCTAGGTAATAAGGAAACTGATGCCAACATACAAGGTAACCCAACCAAGGCTCACACCACTTTAACATTTAAATCAAATAAGAAGGGTCAGAAGAAGCCTAACAGCTTCTGCCTGGATCTCTTGGTCCTCTTGTCTGCAGCCATATCAAAGTCCATGAACAAGCTCTATGTAGGTGCATGTGGGTTCATGGCTCCAGCTGAACTCAGCCTTCCAGTTCTCCCAGCCCAGTCCCTGCCCAGGCCCCAAACATATGAGATTCTTTGGTAAAGATATTCTTGAAGTTTCAAGAGTGATCCTTCCTTGGAACAACCCATGCTGACTTTATCAGCCACGACACACATATAAGGCCAACGCATCCACACCCATTCTACAACTTTCTAGAGCAACCATGGTCTGGCCTGGAACTTTTCCGTATTGTCTCCTCTGTGTTTATAGACACTGGCAAAGAGCAGAGATACTACTGCCCAGATGATGAGTAGATATGCATAACATTTGAGCTGAGAATGCTGCTGAAAAGCTGGTTTTCTAAAAGTCGTTTTTCTACAAGTCAGTTTTCTGAAGTACAATTTCTGGCTCAGGCACTTGTAAAAGCAGCAGCTTTGGAAGAAATAAGCGGAGAAAGAAGGAAGCAGAATTGCTTACTGACTAAACCCAGCCTTCACAAAAGAGGTTCCGGGTCCTTGCTGTCTGCCTCATAGTTCCTCCCATAGTCTTATCTGAGAGTGAAAGGCTGCAACTGTGTATCAGCCAACCAGAGGCTTCCACGTGGCCTGAGGCACTTCCCAAGGAGCTGCACACTTTCAGCCCTGTTCCTTTTAAAAGTTGTTCTTCTCCCCTTGAAGGGCACATTTTACCAGCTTTGCAAACCTCAGAGTTTTTTGTTTTGTTTTGTTTTGTTTCTCTCCACCAGTTCAAGGATGGCTGCTGCTGACTCAATTTTTTTAAAAAATCATTTAACTAGTAAGTGACTCATTTTGATGAAGCCAGCAAAATAATATAAAATACACACACACACACATACATACAGAAAAATTGGTCAGTTTCCTGAAGTTTATTTGTCTGAAAAGAAACTGCATGTTCTTTTATGGCTATTTCTGAATATAATAAATTTAAAATGCTACCTTTTATTGGGAGCTCTGGTGGCATAGCACCTAAGGCATTTGACAGCTAACTAAAAGGCTGGTGGGTTCAAACCCACCAGCCACTCCTCAGAAGGAAGACTGGACAACCTACTTCCGTAGCAATACCACCTTGGAAACCCAAGGAGGGGTGGCTATGAGTCGGATCCAGCTTGATGGCAGTGAATTTGGCTTTTTTAGTTGGCTCTTATTGGTTGCCAATAGGTGCTAGGGCCTGGGCAGTATTATAGTATTCCATTCTCACAACCAGCCTAGAGGGTAGGCATTATCATTCCCATTTTACACATGAGGAAATTGAGGCTAGGAGTAGAATAACTCAACAAAGAAGTGGAGGAGTTGAGTGAAAAGCCAGATCCCCATCCAGGCTCTGGTCTTGGCCAGGACATGTGTCTGTCATGAAAATCTGCACTCCTTTCCTTCACCATACTCCACCTAACTCTTATCCTCATTTTTCCAGATACCTCAGTTTCTCCCGGTCACCTTGACTTGCCCAAAGTCCCCTCCTCTCCAGCTCCCAGCCCCACTGAGTCACTGGCTTCTCTTCAGAGCCTTCTGTTCTTGCTGCCTAGATAGCACATTAAATTGGGGTAGGGCACAGTGCATGTCCGCCCAACCCCCAATCTTATCAGAAGTTATTATTTCAGTCTCAGCAAATGCCAGAGGACGCTACTGGCCACCTTTCTGACACCTCAAGCCATTAGACCTAGAGCAGGCATTGGAAGGGAGACTGAGATAGCTTTATGTCCCTTCCTTACCACCCACTGACCTGAAGGAAAGAGATACTGATTCTGATCAATGCTCAGTTTACTTGGGTAGCACTTGCCCCCAAACATCCATTGTGAACTGCATTCCAGCTCGCTGTAACAACCAACAGATTGATTGCCTTTCCTTTTTGCCTCCACGAGGTTTTACACTGGAGGATCCCCAACTCCTTAGCGCCCCGCGCCCTGCACCAAGCTTGGCCCAGGTGTCACTTGCTGTCTCTCGCAGGTTAGCACTCCGCAACACTGCCGTGGAACTGTCATTAAACTTTGGAGTCAGCCGACCAAGGAGCCTCCTAGGGCGGCAAAGCCTTCTAGAAACTGGGGTCCCAAGCTGACTTGGTCCCTAGTGCGGAACGTGAATTCCGGGCGCAGGGTACCTCCAGCCCAGGGCTAGAGTCTCTGGGGCCTGTGGAGTCAGGATAGAGGGGTACCATGGCACTACAGATTAGACCAGATGGGGCAGGAAAACCGAGAAAGGTCCTCTGGTGGGGCTGCCAAGAAGACACCAGGTGCAATTCGCCTGGCTAGGCGACTACTGCTGTTAGAGAGGAGTCTTGGGGCCCCTTGGGACGCGTGAGTTGGGGGCACCCTGAGTCCCCAGCCCACTCACCGGACACATTTAACTGGCCTCCCAGGAACCAGCCGATCTTGCCACGGCTGAAGTCGCAGTCCCACACGGTGTGGTAGGGGGTGTCCCACACCAGCGTGTCCCGCGCTAGCGGCCCCCAGAAGGCAGCTGGCTCCCGGGCCGCCTGCGCCCTCAGTGCGGAGTACGAGCTGGGCTCCTTGGTGGCGGTGGCGGTGGCAGTGGCAGAGGCGCTGCTGGGTCTCCCGGAGGCTGGCCAGCTGGGCGCACTTGCCCCGTTCAGCAGCCGTATCTGCTGCACCGAGCGCCTGCACAGGCTTCCCAGGAACCTCCAGACGCCGCGGCCCAAGCTGAGAGCCGCCATCCGATCCTCAGTACTACCGAAGTAGGTACCGCCCTTAGCGCCCGCCAAAGCCAGCACAGGCGCCAGAAGCAGGGTGCGCCCTTTAGTTTCTCCACCGGCCCGCCCAGTCTCCGCCTTCGAGTACCACCCACTCGCCGCGGCCCCCGCAGATCTGAAGCCGCCTTCGGCAGGTCGCTCCAGAGAAGGGGAACGCGAAGAGAGAGCCTAAAGAGGGACAGCAGAAGCGCGCGAGCGGTGCCCTGCAAGATCGCAGAGCCCTCCTGATCTGCGCGTCGAGACTGACACTTACATCTAGCTGCTTTAGTTTCAGTTGTGCGCTCTTATCGGAACTCCTACTAGAGGGAAGAGAGGGGGAGGGCTGCTCCAAGCTGGGAACAATAGAGGCATCTTCGGTGTGGATTAGCGCAGGTTTCAGGTGGAGGGAAGCGCTCAGGAGGGTCCTACAGTCAAAGGGCAATAGGTTCAGCCTTTCAGAGGCTGGAGTCAAAGTATTAATCTATTTGTGCTCCACTAGGAGTGAACCCCTCACCCCTCGGGCCTGCCAAACCCCCACCACACAAACATGCACACACATGCCCCGTAGGATAATGGGCCAGGAGGCTGTAGGGCTCTAGGTTCATAGTCTGGTCCCCATGTTCATGTCACCCAGCTCCCAGCCCCAGCCCCAGCCTTGCGGTGGGGCAGAGTTCACCTCTTCCCTGGAAAAATATGTGGCAGAAAAGCACAGCTCCCTGGCACCTTAGGTGATTTGAGGTGATGGAAATTTTTTGGCTTGGTTTGGTTTCAGCATCTCTAGCCTGCTTCAAGCCCTGGCTCCACTACTCCACTACTGACTAGTTCTGTGAGTTTGATAAGGAGCTCTGGTGACACTGCAGTTGAGGCATTAAGCTGCTAACCAAAAGGTCAGTGGTTCAAACCCACCTGCCAGCCTCTCTGTAGGAGAAAGATGAGGCAGTCTTCATCCATAAAGATTTACAGCCTTGGAAACCCTAGGGGGCAGTTCTCCTCTGTCCTATAGGGTCTCTATGAGTCAGAATCTGCTCAGTAGCAGTGGGTTTGGTTTGGTGACCTTGACTAAATTCTTTCACCTGCCTGTGCCTCAGTTTCTTTACCTGGAAAATGAGGGTACATTTCCTTTATAGGGGCTGCAGTTAAGCATAAATGAGACAAGCTGGATGCATGGCGATGGCTGTGTTATCAAGGCAGGACAAATGGAAGGAAAATCATAGGAAGCTTGTCTCAACAGATTCTTAAATATTTCAATACCCAAGAAGAAACTCCTAATAAAGAAGGTAACACAGGGGAAAGGGGATTGGGGGAATTGGTCTGTTGAATTCTTTGGATTTGGGAAAGATTTCCTCCTTTGAGCTATAAAATGTTCAGAGGACAATGCCACTGAGAGAAGACCAGGTGTACTGGTATACCTTCAGGGCTACAGACACAGCTGACACTTCATGAGCAGTGGCAGGTGCCCTAAACTGTACCAAGCATTTCACCTGAATTCTCCACTTCGTATAAAAGTTATATAGTCCAATCCCCTTGTGAAGCAATGAGGAAACTGAGACCCAGACAAATAAAAGGACTTCCTGAAGAGCACAGGGTTGGCACATGGAAGAGCAGGACTAGCACTCAGTGCCCCCAACCCCCACTTCAACATCTGCTACACCACTCAGACTAGTTTCCCATTTTTAATAGAGTATATAAAATTATAAATACTGAGGTAGATAATCTCCATCACAGTGCATCCTCCTTCTATAGACTGGGTGGCCTACCCTTGAAGTCTGTGCTGGTCTTACTACCTTGACCAGTAGAATGTGGAAGAATGGAACTGTGCAGATTCAGATCTAGGCCTTATGAGACTCAGCAGCTCCAGTTTCTGTTCCCATGGGGACCAACTGCCATGCAGTAAGGAATCTCATCTGGCCTCTTAGGAAGCTCACAACCAATACACTCAGCTGACAGTCAGGAACCACTCCCAGATAATGAGGCTCCAGACAAGGCAACAAAATGAAGGTCCCCTGACAATACCTTGTGGTACACAAGAACTACCCAGCCAACTTACAAGATCATGAAAAATAATGTCATTTTAAGTCACTCCATTTGGGGTGGTTACACCCCAGTAGGTAACTGATCTAACTGTGGCCACAAATGTGTGGTCTTCTTTCTACTCCCTGGCTGCCACTTTATAGCCCTTCATAGCTGCTCCTGCTTTCCCTGCCCTGAAAGTTTTCGAAGGTCCTGGGCTCTGACCTCAAACCTCTCCTCTCCTACCCTTAGCCAAGAGCTCTCTATTCTTTGGTTCTCCAGCCTTGTCCTTCTCTCCAAATTTCAGCCCTCTATTCAAAGGTCTGATTGACACCTCAGTCTATCATGTCTTGGGGATTCTGCCCTCAGACATTGGTCCTTCCACCGTCATTCTCATGTCAATATAAGAAATTATCATTTCTTTTTGTTCCCACTTAAAACTTTATCATCCTAATTTCTTCCCTCTCACATTCCACAAATAATCTGCAAGCAAATCCTGGTGAATCACCTTCAAAATATATACAGTGTCTGATTGCTCCTGCCTATTGTGAACCTTCTGTCCAAACCATACCCTCACTTGTGAATTATTACTTTTACCCTTGCCCCCTTCAGACTAAACCCCACAGCAGTCAGTGTAATCCTTTAAGACAAGGATAGATCAAATTGCCTTGTATTTTACGGTGATCCAAAGGCTCCCTCGACTCCAAAAGTAAAAAGCCATAACCTTACCTGGACCCACAAGAGTGCACACTTGCTAGCACCCTCATTCCCCAGAATGTTGTTGACAGAACAGCATCAGCATTACTGGGAGTTTCTCAGAAATGCATAATCTCAAGACCCACCCAGACTTTCATTGACCTTATAGAATCTGCATTTAACAAGTTCCTAGGGGATCTGAGCATATTGAAGTTTGAGAAATGCTGCTCTCCCTGACTCAGAACATCACCTTTGAGACTCCTCTCCTCCCGCTGTTCCCTGACTGACTCTCTTCCAGTTACCTGGCCTCCTCCCTCTCCTTTCAACCCACCAGGCACACTTCCACCACAAGGTCTTTGCACTGCTACTCCTTCTGCCTGAAACACTTTTCCCTCAGATGTCCCTGTGGATCCTTCACTTCACTCAAGTCTCTTCCAATGCCTCAAAGAGACCTTCCTTGTTACCTAGATAGAATCACCTCCCAAACTCCATACTCCTTAGTCCCAACACAATATTTTTTTTTTTCTCCATAGCTCGTATATACTCAAAACTAAAACCAAACTCACTGCCCTCAAGTTGATTCTGACCCACAGTGACGCCCATTGGGTTTCCAAGGCAGTAAATCTCTATTGAAGTAGATTGCCCCATCTTCCTTCCACAGAATGTCTGGTGGGTTTGAACCACCAGCCTTCTGGTTAACAGTCAAATACCTTAGGCACTGTGTCACCAGAACTCATTATTTTCTCTCTCCCTGCCCCCCCCCCCCAATGGAGAAAGTGTTTGAGAGAAGAGTCACCAGCTGTTCTCTTCTGGGACTGCATCCCCAGCACCTAAACCCATGCCTGGAATGTAATTAAGTGCTCAGCAAATGGGAAAAGACTAAGCAGAAAAACATCTAAATGATAGTATGAGTGATGTTTCTTCTTTCTATTTACCTTCATTAGAATTTAGAATTAGATCTTTACAATGGTAAGCATATACAAAATTAACTCTATTTTAAAATACATCGTTCCTATTTCCTTCAGGTTGAATAAGGGAAGTGACTATGTGTACATAAAACATTTCAGAACCAGTCAGGGCAGAATTACACTTCCACAGCCAAGTTAGTCAACTTTGGCCCAAGAACTTCCACCTGAGAGTTACAGTTTCTTTTGCCTCCATACTGGCAGTCGATGGTCAGGCCCATAAGAACTGCCCTATGCTCCTGCCCTGTGCCCTGTGCCTCAGCAATTCTGAGAAGCAGAGACCATTGAGTAGCACCATCTTCTCACCTATGGACTCTACATCAGTAGAGCCATCAGCTGCTAAAAGCTGTATGTTTGCAGAAAACAGATGTAGTGTTATGGATTGGATTATGTCCACCAAAAAAATATATTGTAAATCTTAAACCCTATACTTAAAGGGGAGGGAGACAGACCCGACCCCAGAGGCAAGAAAGGGAGGGAAACACCAGGGATGACAAAGCATCAGGATCCAGGTAAGGTGAGGGTAGAGAGTTTTCAAACAGCTATAGAAGATAAACTTGTCTGTCAGTTTGTCATACTGTGGTGGACTGCACATTGCTGTGAGGCTTGAGGCTGTGGCACCAGTATTTCAAACGCCAGCCAGGTTGCACATGGTGCACAGGTTTCAATGCAGCTTACAGACTGAGACAGACTAGGAAGAAGGAAGAGGCCATCCACTTCTCAAAGAATTGGCCAAGGAAAACCTTATCAATAGCAGAGAAATGCTGTCTGATACATTGCTAGGATACTTTATGAATAGCCTGGAAACATTGTCCAATACAGTGCAAGGGGAAAAGCCCCTTAGGTTGGATGCACACAAAATATAACTGGGAAAGAGATGCCTCAACACAGTATAGACAACTTTAATGATATGGATAAAGTACAGCTTTTGGGACTTCCATTTGCTGATGTGGTATGACTCAAATTGAGGAGAAACAGCTGAAAACATCCATTAATAATCAGAACAATGAATGTATGAAGTATGAATATAGGAAAATTGTAAGTTGCCAAAAGTGAAATGGAACACATAAAGATTGATATCCTAGGCATTAGTGAGCTGAAATGGACTGGTTTTGGCCATTTGGAATCAGACAATCATATGATCTACTATGTCAGGAATGAGAATTGAAGAGGAATGGCATGGCATTCATCATCACAAAGGATGTTTCAAAGTCTGTCCTAAAGTACAATGCTGTCAGTGATAGGATAATATCCATACACCTACAAGGAAGACCAGTTAATACTACTATTATTCAAATATATGCACTAACCATCAAAGCCAAAGATGAGGAAATTGAAGATTTTTATCAATTTCTGCAGTCTGAAATTAATAGAACATGCAATCAAGATATATTAATTAATTAATGCAAAAGTTTGAAAAAAAGAAGAATCACCAGTAGTTGGAAAATTTGGCCTTGGCAACAGAAATAATGTTGGAGGTCACATGATAGAATTTTGCAATACCAATGACTTATTCATTGCATATATCTTTTTTCCAACAACATGAACAGCAGCTATACATGTGGCTGAATGGAGTACACAGGAAGCAGATTGACTATATCTGCGGCAAGAGGGGATGGGAAAGCTCAATGTCTTCAGCCAAAACAAGGCCAGGAGTTGATTGTGGAATAGGCCATCAACTGTTCATATGCAAGTTCAACTTGAAGTTGAACACAATTAAAACAAGTCCATGAGAGCCAAAATATGACTTCAAA